CGTGGCGCATCCTGATACAGGGTTGTTTTGACGCAGAATGTTTTATATTTATCCTTTATTTAGTCTTGGGGTGTGCCTTTAACCATTTGAAGACTTTATCATTTGTGATAGCATTTAGATAAAATATTGGGGTCTATAAAAAGCAGTGGATGACACCAGCAGAAAGCAGAACCTTCCTCGGAAGAAGTGAAATTCCCAAATAAACTAATATTTACAGTTTGCCAGCTGTTGAGCCATTTAAAGGGTTTTCTGAACGCTTTCAGAGGATATTTTGGTTAATCATTTCAAAACCTGAAATTGTGTACGACATAAAGGAATTAGGTCACTTGAAGGACGAGCCCAACACGAGGTCACCACCATAAGCGTTTTACAACAATTTCAGTTTTTTTTTCTCGGTGCTCCAGATTTGCCAAGGTTGAACGGCCGAAAATGGGGTAAACAAGCGCAACAGCCCTACGAAGGCGGAGATTAGTGGGTATAAGAAGGGGAGTTGGCACAGAAGCAACAGCACAATGTTCGAGGAGAAACTCATCATCGGCGTGGCTTCGGCCTGCTCCACTCTGACCATCGTCGCCTGCCTGATTGTGGTCCCATCGCTCTACAACACCATCAACGAGATCCACGACGAGGTCCTCGAAACTGTCTCTGTGTTCCGCGTCGAGACCGACTCTGCTTGGAGTCAAATGATGGACTTCCAAGTCACAGTCGCTCCTCCATCCAAGCCTCGTGAGAACCCATTCGGCTCCATCTTCCGTTCGAAGAGACAGGCCGGTCTTCCCTCATACTGCCAGTGCACTCCTACTAGAGTGACCTGCCCACCTGGACCACCTGGACCTCCTGGACGACCTGGAGCACCTGGTAAGATCAAATTTTATCAATTTCTGCTTGGTTCAATTTTATGCTTGACATTTCAGGACAACCTGGAGCACCTGGTCAGCCTGGTAGCGACGCCACTACAACATACGCTCCCATCAACTGCCCTGGTCGTGACAACACTTGCGTACAAGTGCCCGGCTGGACCTCCAGGACCTCCCGGACCAAGTGGAGCTCCAGGAAACAGAGGACCAAACGGAAATCCAGGACGTGCTGGAGGCCCTGGTAATGATGGTCGTCCAGGTCCTGCTGGACCTCCCGGAGATGGCTGGAGCACCAGGAAATCCTGGATCCGCTGGAAGACCAGGAGAGCCTGGAAGACCTGGCACAACTGGAAGTGGAACTCCTGGACGTCCAGGACCAGCTGGAGCTATTGGAGCTCCAGGAAATGCTGGAGGACCCGGCAGAGCCGGTAGTCCAGGAAGAGCTGGAGGACCTGGCCCGGCTGGCCAACCGGGAGGACGAGGACAGCCAGGAAGGAACGGTCAACCCGGAAGACGTGGAAACCCTGCAGGTCCAGGAGGTGATGCCAACTACTGCCCGTGCCCACCTCGCTATGCTGCTTCTGCCACGCAAGGCACGTGTTTGAGCTCGTTTTTCAGTATTCAATAAAATTTGCAATTTTTGTAATTCTTCCCAGAAGTGTGTCATTAGTCATAATTACTGAGATCCTCTCAAAAAGGCTCAGCGAGTACAGTGGGTGGCTTCAAAAGGGTTCACTATGTAGTGTGGTAGCGTACACCTAAGTCATGGATTAGGACACTCTCACACGGTCAAAGGATCCTGCAGAGGTCGGTCCCATTTGTTGCTCAGGGAGGAAAGTTAAGCACTCCTTCATTTCCTTAGAGAAAAGGAGTTTTATGCAATTGAAGCGAATCACTTTGTAGGTGATACTAGAACATGAGTGTGAATGTTAGAGAGTACTGGACAGGAGGCCCGTCGCGCGGCAAGAAGGCAAAGAGCGGAGGAGTCGCACCGCGTGCTGTGCGACAGGACGTACAGTTTTACATTCTATTTACCTTGACGTGGAATCACTGCAGCACGCACTGCGACTCGTCCGCTGACTCGTCTGCGTCCCTGCCGACTCGCCTCGCGACGAGCCTCCTGTCGGGTATCCAAGGTTAGAGGGATTGGGAATAGCGACTGACGGGTGGAGCTGTTTTTATGACGTCACTGGGCGTCAGTGGTGTGGAAGTGGGGAGGCAGTCCCGACCACACTCTCCAGCACCCTTGACCAACGCCGGCCAGTGAAATCAGCAAACCGCTGTAGTTAGCCATCAAGTGCGGCTATTCTGAAACGGACGACGAGATTGCCAGTTAATGCGGTTAGGCCATAAGTGTACTCTGATTTTTAATTAAAGCCATGGTCCCGAACTTGTAAGATGCCTTTTCAAATACAGAAGCTGATATTCAAGGTGACCCTTAAGCATGAAACGTTTTGTCATTTACGTCGTGAAAAACACGAAGCTCATCGGCCATCAGGTGAGAAGGGCTTATGCATACGTGGGTTCTCAATGGTAACCAGTGGCGACCAAAGAAGCAGAAATAAATACCGTAATAAAAAACCCAAAATACAGGAACCCCCTCACTTTTTGGCCGTTGGTTTTCACTGATCAACGGATAACAGCTCAGAAAGTGGAAGTGTGAGCAATTCACCACAACGTGTTTGATGGCACCATTGCCAAAACATGCTTCGATCGAGATGCTCCATTTGCGCCACTGCTAGCCACGCAGCTCTCCTCCAAACCAACAAGTAAACTAGTGGGCGGATCGCTTTTGGGGGGCGGAGTGCCTTTCGAAGTCCTGCTCAGCAAGCAGCGCTCCTTTCGTTGTGAAAGCACCGCACTTGGCCTCCTTGCAGCCAATATAATGCTTCGTGTGGTGCATATGCTTCCTCGATGCGCTCCCTCTTCATCGTAATCGCTTCCTTTAAAAGCCCGATGTTGCATGAATGAGACAGTGCTACCAGAAGGCCATGGCTCACCATCCCCAAGTTGTATGGAAACTGAACAGGTTTGAACGATGGATCCACCTGGATGAGGTCGATCTTAGAACAAATGTAGACATCTACACACATTCTTACTATCAGTACAAAATCATTCGGCAACCTTCATTTTGGCCGCGTTCATAGTTCGCGACTCGGGAGATTAGGATAGTAGGCGACAGGATATTAGGATAGTAGTAGAGTAGGAGATTGCGCTGACAAGATTGGATACGTATCGATTGAAATCGCTGGAGAGTAGTAGATTGGGCGACTTCAAGCGAATAGATCAATACATATCTAATCTTGTCAGCGCACTATCCTAATCTACTACTATCCTAATCTCCTACTACTACTACTATCCTACTATCGTAATATCGCAATCTACTACTCTCCAGCGATTTCAATCGATACGTATCTAATCTTTGTCAGCGCCAATCTCTCTACTTCTCTACAACTATCCTAATCTACTACTATCCTAATCTCCCCGTCAATACATATGTTTTTCATTGTCACGTACTATCCTAATCTCCGGCGCCGCGAACTATGAACGCGGCCCTTACATTTCTACGGCATTAGATTATCGCGAAATCCTCCCTCTTGTTCAGAAAACTTCGAGTCACCGTACACAATGGCTGGGTGTCTGCAGTCTCACTTATGTCCGCACGCCTGAGATCCTCCTTTCAACACACGTCAGCTCTGTCATCTCGGTGCTCAAAGTTTCTCGGACTGGCTTTTGTTTTAGTAAACACGTACACCGCAGAATGTAGGGACCCTCGTTTTCAACGTGTTCAACGGTTCAGTTTTATTTTTTCCTCACAAAGCGGTCCACTTCGCATCCCAGCATTTATTTTGAAACGGAACAACCAATTCTACTGATCGGAAAATGGGCTTTCAAGTAAAAGGATGCTTGCTATGGCTTTCATTTAATCGGATCTGGTTTGTGCGATTCTTTGGCCGGTTTTTCAACCATTGCGTTTAGTTCCCTCACTTCCGGCCTAAAATCTGAGACTTATTTATAGGTGCGTTTTCCCTTATGACTAGGAGAAACAACGCGTAATTATTTGATGAAAAATCACGGTAATGAGCTGTCAGAGTTTATATATCGCGTGTTATCCTCACGCCACGTCGACCGCGACACGAAACAGCGATTCTGAGCGCTGATTTATCTGCTTCCACTTTTCACGTCCCGCAACACCCGCTTATGCGGCAATATTCTCCACTAACATTCCAAATCCTTGTCTCTTTTCTCAATACCTCCACACCTAACAGAAAAATAGTTTTTCACCTTGATCTCTTTATTTGCTCCGATCTTGATCGTGTTCCGACGAAGTTATACGGTTCCGGTATTCAAATTCGCAACAAAGGGATGGAGTGGGAAACTGCTCCCGTTTCCGATCTTCTACATTCACACTATTTTTAAGGCATTTCCACTACATACCTATTTTGCGACTGTTACAGTAACCAGAAAGTGTAGATGAGAAGTAGTCACCTTAGAGTGAGGGTATTTAAAAAGGGGATCAAGCAACAATGAAACAAACACTTCCAACCTCTTTGGATTTTTGAGTGAGTATGATTAGAGTCAAATCTTAAACTATATGAAATTCGGATCCAGGTTTTGTAGCAATTTTTTGGTCCAACACAGGGAGTTTACTGTAAGCAGGTAGTCAAAGAACGCCTCATAAGTATAGCTGTTTAGTCAATTCACGCATCTAATTTTGGACAGGAAGAGCCAACTTCGACGATTCTACGACGTCATAGAAGGGAGAAAGGAAGTAGGCTCCATTTTCTTAGTTTATATGGTCCCCTTCTACAGAATATTTGCGAGTGGATTGTACTTCTAACGGAATACGTGGGAGAGCATACAGGGGGTCATGCTATGACTACTGTGAGAGGTGCAAGGCTGTAAGTTGAAAGAATCCTTCCCGGAAAATACTTGCATTTTTCTTGAATATGTCAGTTGTGATCAGGGACAACACACAAAGTTTCACGCATGAAGATTCGGTTTCCGAAGAGAAACAAACTTACAAAAACCACTCTATGGACAATCGAAGGTAAGCGCGGAGCCAAAGGCGGGGCATGGAAAGAAGTCCGCCTTGGGGCGGCTACGTATCAGGCGACGCAATGAAAGAATCGGGTTAAAGCGTGCGATTTTGGAGAGTAGAGACAAAACGATCGATAGAATAGGATGCAGTAGAAGTGTGAGATGTTAATGCAATAAGTCAAAAGGTCAAAAAGAGTTTCTAGTGACAGCACTCCGTGAACCAAGTGGAAGCGTTCCCGCCGCCAGCATTTGTGACAGATGTCCGGCGGGAATTTGAACGCGTAGCAGCCCTTCGATTTTTCGAATTTTTACCAAAACAAATGCAATTTTTGTTCTTTTCGTTCTTATCGTGAACGATGGGTCTCAAGCCAGTGATTTATGGGTGAGATAGAATCACGATTTTTCCGGGAAGGATCCCTTGAGTAAGTAAAAGTATAAGCCCCACGACTGAAATTGTGGAGAGGCCAAAACCTTTCCTACTGTTTAAAATATATAATACAGAAAAGATTATTTAACATCGGATAAATTTTTAAATTGATTTGAAGAGTAAGTAGTCGAGTTCTGTGTGATCTTCGTAAATAGTGACCATATTTATGACCTTCTCAAATTCGATAGTAGCACGAATTCAGAGTGTCGAATTCGATGATCTCGCCGTAACAACTACGCGACGACAGTGACGGACTCACCTACAAAACTGTCCGGCTGAAGCCTGCTTTTTATGGCTCATCGCTCATTGTAACCAGTAGTCTCTGCACTCAGTCCGGCCTTTTTGTCTGCATTCTCGCCATTGCGCCAAGAACTGCGTTTAGTTCGTCAAGCGTTGTCCTTCGCTTCTCAGCTGAATACACCCTCGCCTTTTCTCGTTGATTCCGCCCCCCCCCGCAGTTTCCAACACCCTACAACGCACAGCTAAATATCACTTTGCAGGTAAACGTCAAGCAAATATCGTCTTAGCGAGTGAAGTCTTCTTATAATGAATCGTATACACGCACTAAATGCGGCAATCTGGAGGGGACTGTCTCACAAGATGTTGCCGGCTATCACGCTGGCTCCGTTTACACTACGAGCCGCTATCCTACTTATCCACACCGCTATATTTCATGCGATGGATTTTCCGGATATGGAAGTGTAAATTAATTTTGATTGGCCTTCAATCATATTTCGCGGCGTACTTCATGACACCTTCAAAAAAGCTGTCGCAAGCTGAGCAGATATTGAAATAATATACGATTTGTTGCATGTCGATATAACCTCACATCGCTGGTACTCCCCAGGGGCCGTCGCGCGAAAGAAGGCATCGACGAAAGAGTTCAGCGGCGTATGGCATGATAGTAATATTAATCTATCACTACCATGAAGACATAGACATGCAATGGCCGCTCTAATATAAGTTTTGGGCGGCAGTCCTATAATACGCGCGCGACTTTCCCGCTGACTTTGGCCTCCCTAAAGTTCCGGGTACCGGGGTCCGTAAACTCCAACCAGGGCAACGCCGTTGGTAAGAATGCATTGATATGGGGGACGCCGGGCGGGAGCAATTTGTCCGTATCACGCGCTTTATATCCTCTCCTACGAAAAATGGAAGCA